CCCGTGTCCCCCTCGGGGTGTCCCCTCCCGTGTCTCGGTGTCCCCCTCGGGGTGTCCCCTCCCGTGTTCCTCTTTGTGTCCCCCGTGTCCCCCTCGGGGTGTCCCCTCCCGTGTCCCCCTCGGGGTGTCCCCTCCCGTATCCCTCTTTGTGTCCCCCGTGTCCCCCTCGGGGTGTCCCCTCCCGTGTCCCTCTTTGTGTCCCCCTCCCGTGTCCCTCTTTGTGTCCCCCGTGTCCCTCTCGAGGTGTCCCCTCCCGTATCCCTCTTTGTGTCCCCCGTGTCCCCCTCGGGGTGTCCCCTCCCTTGTCCCTCTTTGTGTCCCCCGTGTCCCTCTCGAGGTCCCCTCCCGTGTCCCTGTTTGACAAGAGGGTGTCCCCCTCGTGTGCCGCCGCGGATTCCTCGCTCCGAGCCGGCCCCGGCTGCCGGAGTTCCCAGCCGTGGGGATTTCAGGGCTCGGGCCGAGCCGGTCCCGGCCCGGGCTCAGCCCCGCCGGGGTGCTGCGCTTCCGGCTGCGGGCGCGGCCGCTCCCCGCTCCGGATGGCGCGGGAGGACGGGGCACGCACCCACGAGCAAAGTTCAGCTCGCTCCCCTGCCCTGCGGACTCCGCCCGCCCACGGGTGTCACTGCTGGGGAAGAGGGCGGCTTTGGGCTCTGCGGGGCGTCGCAGGCTGCCCGCCGTGTGTTCCCCTTGCCCGGGGGTGACAGCCAGCCCAGCCTGGCCCGGCCCCCCGCAGCAATGCCTCGCAGTGGGGACATCAGTGGCTCCTCTCCTGTGCTGCGGGCCGTGGGCAGGATTTCTGTCTGGGCGCTGGGGCGTTGAAGGGCTCGGTTCAGGGCTGTCCACCTCCCTTGTGGAAGCAGCCCCGAGACCACGGCTGAGGCTGTCCGACAAATCTGGAGGCTTTGGGCTCTGACGCTGCTCCAGGGTCCAGCGCACACGGGAGGGCTGGGATGCTGCAATCTGCTCCATCCGTCTGCCCGGGGATTCACGGCATTCTGTGTTTGCAAACAGCTGCGGATCTCGGCAGCTCCTTCAGGAATGGCTGATAACCCCTTAGAGGGCAGAGGAAAAGCTCTGCCGGGAGCACAACCTGCACTTGACCGTGCCAGGCGCTATCTCCGGCCGTGGGAGCGTGTGGCTGGGGAGAGGCAGGGACACAGGGACGGCAGACGGAGCCGGGAGTGGCCCCATATGCTGAGAAAGATGAGAGTCCACCCATGAGACACGGGACAGGCAGCTCCCAGCACCAGTATCTCCTGTCTGCAGGACACTGATAACCTCCTGCTGCATGAGGAGGCAAAATTAAAAAGGAAAAAAGTACATCCTGCTAATAAAAAAAAAAATTAAAAAGCATTTAAAGATTAGGCCTTTTGCAAGGCCCAGACATGGGGAAGCTCATGAGGAAAGTTTGTAGAGGGGTCTGATCCAAGCACCCAAACCCATGCTGAGCCAAGCCCAGGGTTTGACCCCTCTGTGCCCCCCACGTGCCCCCGGGGGTTGGTGGTCGAGCACAGTGACCCCCAGCCCACTGCTGCTGCCAGGCAGAGCTGTGAGCCAGTGCTGGCTCCTGCTGCCAACCCTGACCTGCCCGGGATGCAGGAGAAGGGCTGTTTTCCCAGCACTGCAGAAGGGCTGTTTTCCCAGCACTGCAGGAGAAGGGCTGTTTTCCCAGCAGTGCGTGGGATGCAGGAGGCATTTGCAGGGATGAGTTAACCTCTTTGCTGTGGAGCAGATCCTGACATGCAGTGCCCCTGTGCTGGCCTAACAGGTTTCTGGCTTTAAAGGATTTTATGCTGGATGCTTTGGCAGTGGCTGCAATTCCTCTGGGGGTGGCCAGTGTGGAGCAGGGCTGTGATTTCCCTGGGTCCCTCCATCCTTAAATACAGCAGTAACATGGTGCATGTCCGTGACCAATCCAATAAACTCGCTGTGCCTCATTTCTTCATCAGCAGAGAGCAAATAGAAACGCTGCCTTGCTTAAAGGAAATTAATATAGTTAATTAACACTTGGCCCTTCTAATATTCCGGGCCCCACTCTCCAGAGCCCTTCCACTGCAATATCATCATTACTAGGAAGCATAAGCAACAGTTAGACCAGATGTTTGCACGCAGTTAATGCTTCTTCCATCTGGGGAAGGGGGAAAAAGGCAACCCCAGCAGCCGGGCGGGAGCGCATGGCTGGCGGTGCTCTCCCCATCCCTGGGGAGCCTCAGCCCGGCGCTTCCTGGGATGAGGCAGGGTTTGGGACACAGCTGCTGCACCAGCTGCTCCCGCTCGGCTCACAAAGGCTGCCTTCACCCCCCTAATTCATGCAGGAGCTCTTCGGGGGGAGCAGGCTCTGCCCCCTCTCCCGGAGGCTGCGCTGCGACTTCTCCGAGGCTTTCAGCGCCGGCGGCGCGAAAAGGGGCGGCTGTGGAGACAAATGAAAGGCGAACGCTGGTGGGAGAAGGGCGGGCAGGGCCTTTCTGGCATGTGGGTGAGGGGAAGCAGATGAATTCTGTCTCCTGCACAACTGCAGCCTCCCCCGGCAGCCCCGCTGAGGAGCGCGGACGTGCTCCCGAGATTATCCGTGCAGCAGGTGCTGCTCCCGATAAAGTCCAGACTGCTCATCCCTGCCTTCACATCCCTGTCTGCTCATCCCTGCCTTCACATCCCTGCCTGCCCATCCCTGCCTTCACATCCCTGCCTGCCCATCCCTGCCTTCACATCCCTGCCTTCACATCCCTGTCTGCTCATCCCTGCCTTCACATCCCTGTCTGCACATCCCTGCCTGCTCATCCCTGCCTGCACATCCCTGTCTGCATATCCCTGCCTGCACATCCCTGTCTGCTCATCCCTGCCTTCACATCCCTGTCTGCACATCCCTGCCTGCACATCCCTGTCTGCACATCCCTGTCTGCACATCCCTGCCTTCACATCCCTGTCTGCATATCCCTGTCTGCATGTCCCTGCCTTCATATCCCTGTCTGCCCATCCCTGTCTGCACATCCCTGTCTGCCCATCCCTGCCTTCACATCCCTGTCTGCATATCCCTGCCTGTTCATCCCTGCCTATTCATCCCTGTCTGTTCATCCCTGTCTGCACATCCCTGTCTGCACATCCATGCCTGCACATCCCTGCCTGTTCATCCCTGCCTGTTCATCCCTGTCTGCACATCCTTGCGTGCACAGCCCTGCCTGCACATCCATGCCTGCACATCCATGCCTGTACATTCCTGCCTGTACATCCCTGCCTTCATATCCCTGCCTGCACATCCCTGCCTGCACATCCATGCCTGCCCATCCCTGCCTGCACATCCATGTCTACCCATCCCTGCCTGCCCATCCCTGTCTGCACATCCCCGTCTGCCCATCCCTGCCTGCACATACCTGCCTGCACAGCCCCGCTCTCTCCTGCACAGCAGTGGGAAGGCTGCTCAGACACCTCGTGCCGTGGCAGCCGCTGAGTTTGGGTGGGTTTGGCACTGTGGGATAGACTCAGAGCAAGGCTGTGTGCTGGGAGAAGTCTGCAGCTGGAGCACAGCTGGTACCTGCGCTGGAAAATCACCTGGCAGCGGGAGCAGGGGGGAGGAGAGCTGCAGGATGCAAACCCCTTGCTGGGTTAAGGGCAGCCTGTGGGTGTCCCAGGAGCACATTTACTGTCCCTGCCATCGCAGAGGNGCACATCCCTGTCTGCACATCCCTGCCTTCACATCCCTGTCTGCATATCCCTGCCTTCACATCCCTGCCTTCACATCCCTGTCTGCACATCCCTGTCTGCACATCCCTGCCTGCACAGCCCTGTCTGCACATCCCTGCCTGTTCATCCCTGTCTGCATATCCCTGCCTTCACATCCCTGTCTGCATATCCCTGTCTGCACATCTCTGCCTGCATATCCCTGTCTGCACATCCCTGTCTGCACATCCCTGCCTGCCCATCCCTGCCTGCCCATCCCTGCCTGTTCATCCCTGTCTGCCCATCCCTGTCTGCACATCCCTGTCTGCACAGCCCTGTCTGCCCATCCCTGCCTGCACATCCATGTCTGCCCATCCATGTCTGCCCATCCCTGCCTGCACATCCCTGCCTGCTCATCCCTGCCTGCCCATCCCTGCCTGCACATCCATGTCTGCCCATCCCTGTCTGCCCATCCCTGCCTGCACATCCCTGCGTGCACAGCCCTGCCTGCACATCCCTGCCTGCACATCCCTGTCTGCATATCCCTGCCTGCACAGCCCTGTCTGCATGTCCCTGCCTTCATATCCCTGTCTGCTCATCCCTGCCTGCACATCCCTGCCTGCACATCCCTGCCTGTTCATCCCTGTCTGCTCATCCCTGTCTGCACATCCTTGCGTGCACATCCCTGCCTGCTCATCCCTGTCTGCACATCCCTGCCTGTTCATCCCTGCCTGCTCATCCCTGTCTGCACATCCCTGTCTGCACATCCATGTCTGCCCATCCCTGCCTGCACATCCCTGCCTGCACAGCCCCGCTCTCTCCTGCACAGCAGTGGGAAGGCTGCTCAGACACCTTGTGCCGTGGCAGCTGCTGAGTTTGGGTGGGTTTGGCACTGTGGGATAGACTCAGAGCAAGGCTGTGTGCTGGTAGAAGTCTGCAGCTGGAGCACAGCTGGTACCTGCGCTGGAAAATCACCTGGCAGCGGGAGCAGTGGGGAGGAGAGCTGCAGGATGCAAACCCCTTGCTGGGTTAAGGGCAGCCTGTGGGTGTCCCAGGAGCACATTTACTGTCCCTGCCATCGCAGAGGCAGTCCCAACCTCCAGCAGTTCCCACCAGGAGCGTGTCACATGTGAGCAGAGCAGGACTTCTCTGGGGTCTCCTGCCAATGTCCCTGTCCCAGTTCCCTGGTTTGTTTGCAAGATGGTGAGTTGGCAGTGTGGCACAATCTGCCTGTGGTGGGGACATACAGCTGGGGAAAGCCCAGAGCCCCCCCAGTTCTGCCCTGACCCTACAGTCCCTCACCTCTGCCACCTGAGCCGTCACCGTTGTTCTGTGCAAACCAAAGCCATTTTCTGGAAGCTTCTAGAAGTGTCTAAAGCTGGCTTGTGGCAGAAGGGGCAGCCCTGGTTTAGGTGTTTCCTCTCAGATCCCAGTCCCAAAAGCCAGGCAGTACTTGTTCCCTTGCATCTCTTACAGAAGACACAGCCCTTGTCACAGGACACCAGGTCAGCTCCTCTTTTGGATGCTGGGCACGCCAGACCCAGCAGTGCCATCTCCTCCTCTCTGTTTTTAAAGCTCACACCATGCAGAGTGTCTCTCAGGGGAAGCCCTGAGCACAGAGCCTGCTGCCCTCTGCTCTGCTCTCACACTCAGCCACGTCTCATCCTCTGAAGCCAAAACACCACAAACACTGAAAGCCACTCCATGCCACAAGGCTCTTCTGTTTCCTTCACTCAAACCCCATGGAAGAACAGAGGCTGAGGTGTTTCTGGGGGGCCTGGGGCTTATCGAGGAGTGATTTGGGAATATGCCAGGCTCTAGCTTCTACCTCTGCTTAGCCAGTCCAGGTTCACTTCCCACCACATGGTCACTGGCACTGAGAACCCAAAAGTGTTGGAACACTTACTTTTGTCAGAAATCCTACAGGACATCCAGAGCTTCACCTGGAGCAGAACAAGGGCTCAGAGTATGATGGTCTGTCAGGAGGAAAAACCCACTTGAAGGTAGCACTGGCATCAGTTTGGAGGCATTAATTTGGCTTCTCATGGGCCCAGCTGGACACTCCAGCATTCCAATGGCTACAAAGCTGGAGGTCTGGTTTTACAGACACTCAGCAATTGCTTCATCCTTGCCACCCCAGCAGTCACCTCTACAGCATATTCCCTCTGAACTTTCAACTTGGAAAAGGCAGCAAAACCATCCATAGACATCCCTATTTTCTGTATTTGTCATATTTAAAAAAAACCCAAGGGGTGTCAGCCATCCCAATTTGTTTCTGCAGCTGGCATCCTTAACCCTGCAGGAATTAAATCTGATGGTGGGGTCAAAGCAGCACTGGCTGTTGTTTCCAAGATGGTAACACCGGAGCCCAAACCATGCCAAAACTGCACCTTGTTTGTGCATGGCTTCTCTACATCCAGGACTACAGACTTGCAATAATCAAGCATTGCTTCATACATTTTAGCTTAGAAACGATGACAGTAAAAGACAAAAAATTAGGATTTTTATTTGTAGACAAAGCACAGTACTGTAATATTCAAAGAGTGATTATACAGAAATAATGACCACAAGAAGGTGATGCATAGTGGACAGAGCCACATCAACAACCCCATCCTCTCTTTTTATTGTTTTAAACCCAAAATATGAGATACTTCTACAAGCATTCTGATCACTGTCACGTAAGTTACCTGAGTTTATGTTCTTTAGTTTATTCTATGCTGTCAGAAAATCAGGGCCGGGATTACACGGCAATTATGAATACAAAATATATCTCAAAAGCAGAGGTAATAATACCTGCATTATAGAGCTTTTAGTTTGTTTTTCTCCCTCCTCATCAGCAGAAACACAAAAATTTTTCTAAGTAAAAAAAAAAAGTTACCTCCTCCACCAATCTGGTAGGAACACACAGGTTGAAAACTCAAGATTAACACCCCAAAAATATTAACAGTGGCAGACAGACATGACGCCTTATTTTCCCTCCTCCCTTATCTGTTTGGTTTCAAAAGCAGCATCGGAAAACACACTCTGCTTCAGGCTGGCATGAGCCAGAGAGACAAACACAGCCTGACAAACAGGGAGCAGCACACAGCTTGGGGTATTATCCAAAGGTCACCTTTGTGCTGATGCAGGGAAAACGAGTTGGAGTCCCAGCAGCTTCTCTGGGGTGAGGGATCTGCACAGGGTTCTGGTTGCTCCAGCAGCACCAGGCAGCCATGGCAGCTCCCAGCTGCACAGGGAGGCCCTGCTTTGGGTCATTTTCAGCAGCCAGGGATCATCTCTGCTCTTCCACCCACACCCAGCTGGGTGTAAAGCAGAGTTTGATCCACTCCAGCAGGGCAGAAAGTCTCACAGCACCAATATCAAAGATTCTCTGCGCCCTCTCCACCCTGGCACAGGGTGCCCAGAGGAGCTGTGGCTGCCCCTGGATCCCTGGAAGTGTCCAAGGTCAGGCTGGACAGGGCTTGGAGCCTCCTGGGATAGAGGAAGGTGTGGAATGCTGTTTAAGGTTCCATCTAACCTGAAGCATCCCACAATTCTCTGACAAATGCCCTGCACAGGGGCAGTTCTGTGGCTGTTGCACAGACACAGGGGTGGTGGCCAGCACAGATGCACTGTCCCGTTACAGACACAGGGTCACACCTCCAGCAGCCCCAGCCTCCTCGAGCCCTCCTCTGCAGCACTGCGTGGCCAAACACAGGTTTTGCTCTCACAAATACCCTCTCCTTCACTGCCAGCACCAAACACAGCCCAGAAAACCTTCCTAGCCCAAATGTCAGGCAGCTGTCTCATTTTCACCTTTGTTAAATAATGCAATTGTCCCGGAAAGGGTTCTCCAGCCATCTCCAGAGCCAGCTCCAGCACACAAGCTGTCCTCCAAAGGGATGGGAAGCACAGTGGGTATGCCAGGGCAGCAGGCAGCAGCAGTAAATAACCCTGAGCCTGCTTTGTTCCTTCATAAAATAAATGATTAATAGCCCAGGATAGTCACTCTGCTTGAAAAGCTCAGAATTGCTAAAAACTTTTGATCAATTCATTAACCTTTAAAACTGCCTCTAAGAGAGGCTTAAAATCTGAGGGAGAAGCATCATGTTAAACACTTCAATTTTATCCAGTGTTCTCACTTTTGACAAACTGAGCTAAGATTAAGACACTCTGCTCCTCTTTGGAGACACCCAGCATCAGTCGGGTGTCATGGAAGAAATAACGGGAAAATAAAGTTGCTAGACAAACAACCCCATGCTCATCTTAAAATTCAAACCCATTTGGGGCTGGGGGGAGAAAATGTGCCTTTTTTTGTGATCCTTAAGCACTTGGCCATTCGCAGGTGGCTTCCCAACTGTCTCTTTATTTCTTTTGCTTTTAATGCTAATAAAAAGGGAACCCAAACAGTGGCACTCCATTCCCCACACAATGCCCTGGGGGAGGGCAGGGAGTGTCACTTACATATCCCAAAAGTCTGACTCAGACAAATTACTTCTAGTTCACTTCCCTACTACACGCCTGCATTGTTCCAACACCTTGGCAGCAGAAGGGGCTCATCCCCACTCTCTGGTCCCAGGAACAGCCATGGGGGCTGAGGTCATTAAGGAGCTGTCCCAATTACTTCCCTGGGGAAAGCAGTGACTTGCAGCTTAACGCCCTGGCCCAGCACAGCAGGAAAACCAACGGTCAGCAAAGCCCCAGGGGCTGTGCTCCCGGGAGGAGCTGGGCTTTTCCAGGCATGGCAGCTGCCTCCTGCAGCTCCTCTGCAGATGGCTGCAGGCTCAGGCATGGTTTCCTTAGGAAGGGAGAGATTCCCAAGAGAAAAAGGGTGTTCTGAACCAAGGAGAAGTCACAGTCACTGCTGCCAGGCTGATTGCAGATGCTGTTTTTTGGCTGGGATTTATTTTCTAGAGAGGACAGAGAGCAGTGTGAAAAGGTCAGGAAAGGCACTTGTCCTTCTCTGCTTCACCAGCAGCATCAGTGGTACAATGCCCAGCAGAGGAAGGTTATTCCACCTCTAAGGGAACCACAGGCCCTTCTCAGAGAAAGAAATACCAGCCACAAATTTAACAAATCAAAACCTCAGAGACACCCAGCTCACAGAACCAGCCCACAGCTTCTTTTGCTGCAATAATTACACATGGTCAAGGATTTGTGAGTTTAATAGTTTTAGGGAGCAATTCCCAAGCCACAGCTGTCAGCTTTCTGAAATCCCATCCAAGCTTGCTGGAATTCAGCAATTTTAGGAGAATACCAACACTCTTGGTTGGAACAATACTGAGGCTTCTGACAGAAAAATTGTGATGCTTCAAATACCCAACAGTGGTGGAAGGAAAGATGTTTTTTATAAAGGAATCAGACCTCACCTGTAGCTTCAGCAGTTTTTCTGTATTGAACCTTTATGCTTCTCTATACAGAGAAAAATATTTAACCAAAAGAAAGAAACCAAATTCCTAATTTTACAGTTTTCATGGGGTCTGATGGATGTTCCAATTCAATTATTCACTCCAGACTGTAACAGCAGTGAATTAGAAGTTGAAGGGATTATAGAGAGTTATTATGACAAAGTAGTATCTTGGTTTTTGGGCACCATGTACATCATGGATTTGCATGGAAAAGGGAAGTGGAAAAATAAAGAGCAAAGCAGCACTCTGAATATATGCAACAGTAATAAAGGAGTTTAGGTGGAGAAGGACAAATTACTTAAGAAGAAATTGAGAATTGTTTTCTACTCAGAAGCTCCCTGAAGTTAAATGTACTGTTTCAGCTGTACCATTGAATAGGAGAAATTGCCAGAGCTTGGAGGGTAAAGAGTTCTAAAGATGACAAAGAGAGCATTAGCAGGATTATGAAATGCCATGGGCAGGTGGATACAGGGAAAGTGAACCAAACAGTCCCAAGTGAGCCAAAAGGGCTTAATGATTCTCTTGGAAATATCACCACATCAAACCAGTGTGGCAGGAATTCTTTCCATGCACATCATTGAGTGAACTGTGTAGTGTTGTATGGCACGTAAGTGCTTTGCACTATGAGGAGTTTGAATTTATTAATTGATTAATTAAACCAGTTTTTGTGCTTCATCAGCTCTCTAGTCAATTTTCTATTACAGTCCAGGGTGTGCTACCATACCCTGGGACTCAGCAGAGTGTTTTTGAGAGGAAGATAATTAATAAATTAATCCATTAAATTAAGCACAAACTACAGAACAGTACAAAATCAGTTTCAAATCTGGTTACAGCCAACACATTCTACTGCTGTGGAGGGCAGATTCTGGACCTCAGAGAAAGCCTTGTCATGCTCCACCAAAATAAAAGTGCTTGGGAAATGTTGCTCCCTTGGACACACCAAGTGCCCAGCATGAGATCTGAGGCCTGGTCATAGAGCTCAAGTTGTGTAACTGTTTTTGGTATTTAGATCAAGCAGCTTTTAAAAGCTTTACAGACAAGTTTAAAATAATTACAGGGTATTCATTAGTGCACTTTGCAGAGGCTCAGATTCAGACCAAGTGCAGGAAAGAAACCAAGTAAAAACAGTCTTTCCAAGCCTGATTTACCAGGCTTGTACAAGACAATCCTAACAGCTCTATTCTCAGACATTTTATTGTTTCCCTGAGGGAAAACTGCAGAGGAAATCTCTCAAGGAGCATACAACTGTCTCTGTAATAGTTTAAACAGGATTCCCAGCCATCCACAGCAATGAAGAAATGATGGCCCTGCTTTCAGAGCTCAGCAGGTCCCCCACTCCATTCACCCCTGATCACACCACAGTGAGCACAGCAGCACAGAAAAAAACCCACTTGTAAACATTCAGATGAGCCCTAGAATGTGTTTTCATACTCTTCAGTTAGTGTCAGGCTGTCATATTATAAATATATTTAGTTTTTAAAGAACAAACCCCAATGCCACACTTGTAGGGAAAATAAGGCCTCTTAAAAAAGACTGCAACAAGTTTCTCTGGGGTGTGTGCTTGCTCTAAAAGGAGCCAAACATTCTGGCCTGGAGACAAGAGTCAACTCTGCTTGACAGATGTTACTTTAAAAAATTGACAGGTCATGAGAAACAGAATAACCTGTTCCCTCAGCTGCTGGGAAGTCCCATCCCATTCCAAGATGTTTTAGACTGAAGCACCTACTTGCTGTCTGTCCTTTTGTTGTAAATGAGGAAGTCAGACACGTCGTGCCACACCTCACTGTCCTCGTACAGGTAGGTCATGGAGGACTGCAGGGAGGGCTGCAGAGTCTCCCTGTGGTATTCGAAGAGCCACAGGACTGTGCCCCACACCAGGGCAGCCAGCAGAGGGAAGGGATCCTGCCTGGGCTGCGGGATGTAGCCCTTGTCCACAGCCAGGCGGGCCAAGCCGAACAGGATGCGGGACAGCAGGTACATGATGATCTGCAGGAGAGAGCAGAGAGCAGCCTGAGCACAGCCAGCTCCAGGGGCTCACAAGGGACAGCCCAGCCACCAGGGGTGGCAAAAGTGCCCACTTCAAAGCAAACAGGCTGTCATTTCCCCTGGCAGCACCCTGCCAAACTGCCAAAGCCCACCCTAGGGCGGGGGTGGCTCTGTGTGGTGGAAAAATCTCTCCACCAACCTGAGCTTCCCAAGAAAGGCTCAGCAGTCTCTGTTGTTTGGTCTCATGGTTGTTTGTTGCAAGTTATCTAAAAGATTTTCTTCTGGGGCTGCTGTGGTTTGCTCACAGCTCAGGCAGAGGCACACACACACCCTGACATCCTCTCTGACTCCTGACTGCTTCTTCTCTCCAGCCCAGGGCTGCTGCTGTCTTTTATATGGTACATTACGTGTGACATGGTTACAGTTTTTCCCAATGCCTATTACCTATATTAAATGGTGCTTTTCTATCTTTTATATGGTACATTACGTGTTACATGGTTACAGTTTTTCCCCAATGCCTATTACCTATATTAAATGGTGCTTTTCTACTCTAAACCAATCTGTGAGTGCCAACATCACCCAGAACATGGAGGTAAGGAAGAAGAAAGAGGGAGGACAGGGCAGGCCCAAATCCCTCTATCTTAAAACTTCTGACCCCCATGTACAAAACCAAAACCCCCCTGTACAGCACTCAAAAATTCTTCCCTCTACTTTGTGACTACTTTAATATCTAAACTTTTGTGACTTCTTGTTCTTCCTGCAAGGTTGGTAAACCATTCCATGGTTCAAACCCAAAATCACAGCTGTTTCCAGCTGCCTGCCAGGTTCTCAAATGCTTCTGACCTGGGCCTGGAACCTCCAAAAATGTCTGAGGGACATTTTGAGTTCCAACGCCAAACCACGGCTATTTGTGTCCCCTCCAAGGCCTGCTGCTCTGATTTGGCAATCACCAGGCTGCATTTCATGCAACACTGCTGTGCAGTTGCACAACTTCTGTCTTTGCCCAGCTCATGGCACCTGAGATGGTGCTGATGGAGCAGACCCAGAGCAGTCCTGCCAAGCAGGTGGGAGCTCAGGAGTCTGGACACAGCCTAACACCAGGCCTGGCTTAAGGTGAGCATTTTGGATTAATCTGAAGCTGTTTTCCTCCTTGGTTTCTAGCTGTGTGTTAACAACCAGCTTTAAATCAAACAGCCCTGGGCAGCTTTCATCAGTTTAGCCACTTTAGTTCAGTGCAACTCTAACTGATCAAGTTCTACACTGACAACACTTCAAGGGAAGAGTTTAACCCTGTGATGGCCAGATCAGGAACACATAGGTAGTGACCACAGCTCAGGTGATAGGTAGGTCAACCCCACAGCTTTGGGTTACCTGCCTTCCTACAAACTCAGCACAGCTCTGGAGGCAAACCAGGGCTCCCAGCACTCCAGCTGCCCACACTGCTCATGGAGACAAACAACCACACCTGGGACTTGAGTGCAGAGCAGTCAAAACAGCAACTTGTGCAGAGAACGTGATAAAAGAGCAACGCTCTGTGGTCAGAACCACCAGAAACAGGCACCACCAACCACTTCCTGGCACACATGCTGCTCTTCCTGGCCACAGAAGCTTTCAGCAAGTGCCTTTACCTGGCTGTTGACAGGATTGTTGTCACCAAACACCAGCCAGCCCCCAATGCAGGCTGCGAGGAAAGAATGAAATGGGGTTTTTTTCCCCTGGGCTGCCAGGAGCCCCTTGTAGGTGAAGACAAAATAGGCCAGGTTCCGGGAGTGAGCGTACGTGGCCTGGGCAATGGATTTCAGCTTCTCCCTTAAACTGAGGGGAAGAAAGAGACAATTACCAGAGTGAAAAGGCAAGATCCTGCACTCACTCAGCCTGGGCACTCCTCCATGATGGTTTGGGCATCCCAGGAATGTCTTGGGAAGAAGGAGAAATTCCCTCAGCTCTGGCTCACTCATCAGAGCACAGCCCTACCCAGACTGTGGACTGTGCTTACTTTTCTCAATACTCAAACAGCCCTTTTAAAACCTTTCTATTGCTAAATGCAAACCTCTGGAACTCAGGGAAAGGCACAAGGTGCACTGCTACAGCCTGGGTTCCCATATTTCAACACAGGATAGAACATTGCTGTCAGCATCTGCTAGTTCCCCCTCTGTCCTCATTTACCATTCCATCAGTGATTACATCCCTCAATTATATATATATTTCTATGTGTTTTACTATCAGGACAAGGTTCAATCACGGCTCACACATCCTTCTGCTCTTTAAACTCCCTAGAAACACAGAAAACAGGCAGCTGGGATGAAAATATTCTAAGCAGCAGCACAAAAATACAGATTTAGCATTTGTACCTTCCACTCTTGAACAGGAAAGTCATCACCAGGGCATGTGGGGCACGGATTTTGGCTCCATAACTGTAAAAGTGGACAGATATTTAACAGAGTTTGTATATCTATTCTACCAACAGCTGAAAAAGGTTATTTAGTCAAGTATCTATTACTTTTAAGCCAGCCCAGCAACAGCAGCACAGCAAACCGGCTAGGGCCCTGCTGGAGAGAGAAGAGCACATGCACCTCAGCGAGCCAGGCCCGAAAGGGACCTCAAACCTCGCTCAGAGCCCCCCAAAGCGGGCTCAGAGCCCCCCAAACCTCGCTCAGAGCCCCCCACACCTCGCTCAGAGCCCCCCAAACCGGGCTCAGAGCCCCCCAAACCTCGCTCAGAGCCCCTCAAACCCGGCACACAGCGCCCCAAACCCGGCACACAGCGCCCCAAACCCGGCTCACAGCACCCCAAACCTGGTTCAGAGCCCCCCAAACCCGGCTCAGAGCACCCCAAACCCGGCTCAGAGCACCCCAAACCCGGCTCACAGCACCCCAAACCCGGCTCAGAGCACCCCAAAACCCGGCTCAGAGCACCCCAAACCCAGATCAGCACCCCCAAACCCCGCTCAGAGCATCCAACTGTACGTGAGGGAGCGGAATCGTCTCCCCGCACCCCGCCACAGCTCCGCCGGCCATGGCACCCAACGGGAGGGCCCGCGGCCCCGCGGCCCGCACTCACACGGCGCCGTTGCGGAAGCCCTTGATGACGGCGAGCGCGGCGCGGTAGCGGCGTTGCCGCAGGAGCGCGTTGGCGGCGCGGAGCAGGGCGCGGAGCGCATCCCCGCCACCCGCCATGGCCCCGCCGGCCATGGCGCCCCGCCGCACGCCGCTTCCGGGGGCGCCGCCCCGCCCGTCGCTCCCATAGGCTCTCACTGCTGTCAATCACAACTCTCGTCCAATAAGCGGCAGCACTGCACCCTCTGATTGGTGCGGAGGGTTTGTCCTGCGGCCAATGGGGGCCGAGCGAGGCGTCCCGCCCAGCCGCTCCGTGAGGGCGGCGGGCGCCGCTCCGAGCCCGGCCCGGCGCTGCCCGGTCGTGGGCCGGGGGTCGTGGCCGCCGCGGCCGTGCCGGAAGCCCGAACAGGGCAGGGGCGGCCACCGGGCGGTCCCTGCCCGCTCTGTCGCAGTGCCGCGCCCCGAGTTGAACACGACCGCCCGGCCCCGGGGCCTCCCCCGCCCCTCCCGCGCCGTGGGTCCTTAGCGGGCGGCGGGCGCCCCCTGGCGGCGCCGCTGCCGCCGCCGCTCCAAGATGGCGCAGGCGATCTTCGAGGCGCTGGAAGGTAACGGGGCCACACCGGGGCCGCGCCGGGACCTCCCGGGCCGCGGCGACAGCCGGGGTGCGCGACCCTGGCTCCTCCGCGCTCCCCCTGTCCAGCGCCGCCGCCGCGCGGGTCGCGGGGCCGCGGCGGGGCCGCCCCCGGAGGCCCGGCCCGGCGCGGCGTGCGGCGCTCCCGGTAGCCCCGGGCTGTCTCCCGCGCTGCTCTTCCGCCGCCCGCACCGCAGGCGCGGCTGCAGCCCCCGCCGCAGCCCGCGGCTCCCTGCCGCGCCGCTGTCACCTCCGCTCCCCGGCCTGTGCCACCTCCTGCCCGTGCGCCGCGGCATCCCCGCACCGCCCAGCGCAGTGCCCTGTGCACCGGGCAGCCCTCGTTAACCATGGGCTACGGTGCGCTGCATCCCTGCCTGTGCCAGTGCCCGGCGGCCCGCGGCATCCCATGCCTTCCCTGCCCTGTGCCTGCTGTTCTGGGGCACTTCATTCCTACCCTGTCCCTGCCCCTGCTGCTCCTGGACACTCCATCCCCATCCTGCTCCTGGACACTCTATCCCCTCCTGCCCCTGTTGCTCCTGGACACTCCATCCCCATCCTGCTCCTCGAGACTCCATGCCCATCCTGCTCCTTGACACTCCATCCCTATCCTGCCCCTCTGCTCCAGGCCCTCTCACCCCCTCCCTGCTCCTGTGCCCATCGGGGAATTCCCATCACCGCTGTCTCTGTGCCCAGGAAACAGCAGCACCAATGCCCAGGACACTCCCACCACTCCTGCATGCTGGGGTCCCCCCTCTTCTCCATGCCCAGGGCTCACACTGCCCGTCCCGCTGCTGTGCCATGCTCTGTGCCAGCCCCAGGGATAGTGCCTGGCTGGGTGCTGGCCCCTGCATGTGTATTCTGAGGGGTGGCTGTGCTCTTTGGCACAGCCCGGGCAGTGCCTGTTGTGTGGGTGAACAGGTTGTGCTCAAACACATCTCACTTTGGTGCTGGGGCACTGTTACAGCCAGGTGCCATCCGAGGATGACTGCTGATCTATGGCAGTCTGACACAGGGCTAGGGGTTAGCCTCTTTGGAGAGAAACTACTTCATGGGCATTGATTTCCTAAATTGGATTACAGATGTATTTTCCTTTACGTGACACCGCCTAGAAGGTGTGACATTGGGATCGTTGCCGGTGCTTTTGAGTATCACCTGTGACCACAGCAGCAGAGAGAGGAGCAGAGAATAAATCTTTTCTTCTGTTTTGTCAGGTGACTTGGTGCATTTGCCAGCACCCCGTGTAGAATCAGGTCCCTATTTCCTCTTGCAATCAGCTCCTCATTGTGTTAGTTTCCCTGCAGCATTCAGGACAGCAAAGCTTTTTATCAAATTGAAAAAGGAGGAGGGGGGTGGGTTTAAGCCCGCAGCAATTGGCAGCTTTTAGTGCCTGAGCTTGTTTGTTTTGTCTCGTTGATTGGATTAGGAGTCGATGGTGACTTGGCATTCTTAGAGCAGCCTGGTCTCAGGGTGCTGCAGGGCACAGGTGCATCTTCACCTGTCACTAAAGCACCTGCTGCTCCTGTCAGAAAAAAAGGCTTTATCAGGAGGGCAAATTAGCACCTGGGTGATGTGGACAGTCTTGCTTCATCTCCAGCTGGGAGAAGTTTGAAAGGGAAGGAAAAAAGCACAGATCAGTAGTCCTGTGCTTTTATCTTGGCTTCCCCAAATCACTTTGGTTTTGTCAGGCTCTGGGCAGCTCAGCTGCTGCTGCTGCCAGGAGAGAGGGAGCTGGGTTTTTAAGTTCCTTGGCTGAAGAGCATCCTGCAGGCTGGTGCTGGCTGTAGGCAGGGCAGGACTGATCCAGAGCTGTCTCCTGGAGTCTGTGGATGGCTGTGGCTGGCATCCTTGTAACCAAGTAACTGCCAGCTTGTCTTCATGGGTTGCTAGCCATGTCCTCAGGGGTTTCCCTCTGGGAAGTGTGGTGGTGTGCAGTTCCGCAGTGAAGTGCAGGAGCTCTGAATTCCAAATACACATTTCTGTTGTCCTGGGCTATTTTTCTCTATCAGGAGGCTGAGTGCAGCACTGACAATGTTGCTGCATCATTGTGTTCATGTCTTGGCCTCTCCTGAAGCCTCTTCCTCCTTGTGGGATCAAGGCAATTGTTTGGCTTTTTTCCTTGGAAGATCTGACTCTGTGCCAGAAGGAAACCCAAGCTGCCCAGTGCCAGGCATATCAAGAGTGGCACTGTTTGTGCAGTTGCAATTATCCTCATATTATACTTCACCTGAATTTTTGATCCTTCTTTTCCTCCCAGCTTATTTTTGCTGGAGAAGCGCTGCTCCATGGCAGTCTGTGCTTTGGCTGTGCCATCAGAAGCCTGCAGTGCTCCCCTTGCCGTTGAGCAGGGGCTCTCTGTGCAGGGGGAGGTGTATTTTAGAGCAGGGCTTTGGCTGGGGTGAGGAGATCCTCCCAGCACTGTTGCAGCGGTGTTCTGCCGGCGGGGCTGAGCTGCAGGGCTGGCTCCAGCTCTCCCTGCAAGCCAAGGCTTGCTGAACTGGACCTGCAGCTTTGCTGTGCCTCTGTGATCTGTGTGAAAGGCTTCCCGTAGGCATGGTGGGAATTTGATGGGAGTGTGTGATGTAGTGGGATCTGCTGCCTTCCAGCAGCTGCTTGTGCCCTTGGAGGATGCTGCTCTGCTCTCTCCCAGGGACACGAGCAGGGGTTGCAGCATCTCCTCAGTGAAAGGATGAAAAAGGTGTTCACAGAATCTTAACGTGACATGTTTCACACTGGGAATGCATGATAAATGAGTATTTAGGGTATCTTTAAAAGGCTGGAGATTATATGGGTATTCCCCATCAAGAAGGTAACATTCCAGTTGTTCAGGAGAAATTTTGAGAGGAATCTGGGGTGGTGGATGCTCCCGCTGTGCTGGTCCCTTATGCTGTGATTTGCTGTGGTGCTTCAGTGTCTTCTTGCTACTGTCTGCTGAGCAACCTCCCCTCCTCTCAGTCCTCACCTCACTGCTTAGGAGTGATCAGACTGATTGATTTTCCTTTCATGTGGCACATAATTCTGAGTTCAGAGCTTTGCAGTTTTGTTTTGCAAAGATCTGGAAGTGGAAAACCACCTAAGAACCCCCCAGCTTTCTTCCCTCCCTTAATCCACAAGATATAACATACAACCTTGCTGTGCCATTTGCTTCCTTTGTGAGTTCTGTGTCATAAAAGAGTGATAAGAAAGAGTGGTGCATGAAAATCACCCATTTTTGTTCTTTTTCTCCCAAAATCAGGTTGTCCTTTGTGTCTTTACATTCAGCTTCTAAATAGAGTGTGTCATGTTTAATCCACAGTCCTGTGCTGCTGGCCAGGTTGTCTCCCTGGATGAGCAGTCCCAGTCTTCTGTATTTGTCTGGAATATTTTAAAACATTTTAGCTGTATTGTAAAATATTTGTGCCAAAGCAAGTAAGCTGATTCTAAAACAAATCTGACTGGGTGTGTGTGCCCTGTGTCTGATCAGATCTGGGAATGTTGGCCTTGGAAGAGGGAGCATTTGTGACACTGCTGGAGGAGCTGCTGCACACAAGGATTTTGCTGCCTCGAGCTTGGTGTCTGGGTGTCTGTGCTGCATTCCTGGGCAGTTCCATCCAGGCTTCTGCCCCACACTCCCTGCAACATTCTCAGCTCTTTTCTAGCCAGTGTTGTAAGCATCCTTCCTCTCTGCAGCGAGTGCCTGAAACCTAGCCCTCTTTTGGCTTTCCTTGCCCTTCTTCCCTTCTCTTTTTGCACCAAAGGAGTTCTGAAGACAGGTGGGAGTGTTGCTATTGTGTGGTAGTTGGTGCTGTGGAGTAGAGGGCGAGAAGGTGAGAGTGGCTCAGGGAGGAGAGAGCAGCAGCTGGAGAGTGTTTCAGGAGTGAGCTCCCAGTGCCCAAACACCCCTGTCTGGCTGAGTTCAGTTCACCATCCATGCTTGTGTCTCCTTTAGGGATGGATAACCAGACAGTGCTGGCTGTACAGTCCTTACTGGATGGACAAGGAGGAGTCACGGATCCGTCTGCTCCCAGTGTCAACTCCGCCGCCGCCATCCAGCCCATGGGTGAGTCCTGGTGGCACTGGGACAGAGGACAGGGCAGGGGGCTGCACATCTCCTCTGCAGCATGCACAGCTGGGTATGTGGGGTACTGCTATGAGTGTTTTGAGCCCTCAGCAGGACCAGACAGAGCAGGAGGAAGGGACACGTGCCCAAGCAAGCAGTGATGTTTTTGGAGACAGTCTTGACAACAGACTTGACCATGAGCTTCCAATAAATACACAGAGGGAGAGAGAAGCTACTGTCCCCACATCTAGTGCCTATTACTGTTAATGTGTTTTGTTTAATATCCATTCCTTTTTATCTAGAGATGCTCAGGTGCTCCAGTTCTGGAGCATCTCTGTGTGAATGAATATGGGAACTGGTCATTTATGTGCATGTGGACCCTCATGGTGCTGGACTAGAATTTGCTGGGTGGATGGGGAGTTATCCCCCAAGGAGTTACAGTGTGTGTCCTCAGAAATGGTCAACTTCAGGCTGTGACTCA